TCGCACACCAGCACAGTCACCACAGCTGGAACATCAGCTTCACCTACTCCAAGTGCACACAGTCCTATCGTCAGTGTATCTGTAGGGACAACCCCTGCAGGTGACACAGCCTCTTCATCCACAACCAGTGTCAGCAAACCTCCCGTCACTCCCTCCAAGACTGCCACCTCAACAATACCCACCCATGGTCCTTCTCCCCCCTGGATGTCCACCTCCTTTTTCTCTAGCAGTTTCTCAACATCCACAGCTTCCTCAAGTTTTACTCTGAATCCCAACACATCAGGTATGGACAGACTCTTGTGTTGCTTCTTTTATGGCTCCATGCTTAACCTCTAACGGAATATTAGATGAGGGTACAGTTAGTGGTTGCTAACTGGCTAGTACTTAGGTCCATTATTCAGGTAGATATATGTGTGTTAGTGTGCTGTTTGACAGTCTCACTACTTTCTGGACCGAGAAGTCAACTCTTCAAATGCAATATGTGACTTGAGATAACTTGTGGAGAGTCAAGAGAATTTCAGACTATCACTTGTAGTTCCTAAGTTGTGGTTCTGTTTTATCCACTCCTTTCTGACTCTAAGTCATACTGCTGTCTTCTCTCCCCTAATGCTCAACAACATTCACATCTCCCTGAGGACAGGCACCAAGTTAGGCACAGTGACATCACTAGCATCAGCAGCATTCCAGATCCTTTCAACATCCATCCCCAAAATATCTACAGGTTCCATCTCCATAGCTGCCCCAGTCTCTATGAAATCCGACAAAGTCAAATGATGCCACAGACCTGGGATTGAGAGAATTTAACTAGATGTGTAAGTTGCAGTTGTGGGAGCTGTATTTAATCTACCAATGAGAGCCTTTGTGAATAGTTGGGAAAATAATTCTTCACATTGGCTACAGGAAGCTTAGCTGTCCCTCAGGTCTCCTTTATCAGGTGAGGTGACTGACGCTCTGTCTCAGTCTACTTGCTAAGAGGCTCTGCTTTTTTGGGTCAGAAGAGCTTTATGGAGACAGTAACACAGTGTCCGAGTTGAGTGCTAAGGGCTGACTTTGTGCATGACACAGGCTTGGAGCTGTAGATGTAGATACCATCAAGACGCTCTTCAGTAAATAACGGATCTACTGTCTCCATCAGTACAATTAGAGAAACAAACCCAGGGAATAGGCACTCACAATGGGAGGAGGAAACCCTTAAAGAATTTGGGGTTGTTGGAAGCTATAAAATGGTGAAAAGGTTATCACATGAGGAACTTTTGTGGATAAAAGAACTAAGAAGGACACCATATGGTCTACATTTATGAATATAGAAATGGTGACGAGTTGGAAGATTAATTTGGTTTTTTGTTTGTTTAAAGATTTATTTATTTATGCATACAGAGCTGGGGTATAGGCCAAGGGTGCAGGGGCGGTGAGAAGATTCACCAGAGTCAGAGTGGGGAGCAGAACAGGCAGACAGATGAAATACACTGCTGAGGGGAGTTTTGGGTGGATAAGCAGAGATCTGTTGTGCCATGTAGGTCACCTCCCCGGCTGGGGATTGAACTTGTGCTGAAGTGGCTTTGGCTAGCTTCGTAGTGCTGTGCTTTGACCCGTTGTGTTACCAGGGAGGGCCCCTTGGAAGATTAATTTGCAGAAGCTAAGAAATTATCATAGAGACTGCTGTGCAATTCTAAGAAAGACCAGGTGAAGACTACCTGTTTGGGAAGGAAGAGACCCATTTCATAAATGTTTCTCTAGGAAAGATGTCCTAGGACAAATTCTAGGAGCTCTTCAATTTTATCTAGAGAAATATGATCTGAAGGGAAAAGCCTCACTCTATCAAAGGGTCTTTTAATTACTAATCTGAACTGCATTTGGAAAGTTTTGTCTTTTAATCCTTAAAAATATGATGACTACCATAAGAGATGTAGGTAATATATTGATATTCTGATAGTAGAACCAGTTTTTCTCCAAACTGTGGAAAGATAAGTTCTGTCCCCAGTTCAAGGGAGTTTAAGAGGTAAAATGAGACAAGAGTAAACTGAACAGATGGCTTACATGCCAGAGATAAGAGTCCTTCATGATTCCCATTTAGGAAACAGGACAAGGTGGAAGAACAGCTTGGGGTTGGTGCCGTGGGCATCCCTTTCAATCCTAATGAAGCTCAGAACCCGCAAGAACTTCCTCCTCTTCTTTGTGCTGACTCAGGTGTTCCCCTCTTCCTCTACGGATCACATGTTGGAGATCAGGAGTTTGTCAGGAGGACTGTGGACTTCACCTCGCTACTCTTCAAACCCCAGATTGGCTTCCCTTTTGGATTATCTCTCAGGGATTTCCTCTATGTGAGTTCTGGGGTACAGTCCAAATGAGAGGACCTGTGACCTGCACTTCCTGACTGCTGTTCCTTTCTCAGGGGTTTGGAAATGGTCCTGCCACCATGTCTAGAAGAAACACTTGTTCAGCATGAACCATGTCCCTGTGTTGGCTGGTTTTCACCCATGGTCTTTAATGTTAGGGCAGCCGATGAGAAAGACAGGGGTCAAGGCAAGTTGTCCTACCCACTTAAAGTGTCTACCCCATGAAGAGGTCCCATAGCCTAGTAAACTCTGAATGTTCACAGAATCTTTTTTATAAGTAGGAACGCCTATTTGGGAACCTTGACTACTCGATGCGTTTATGTTTTCTATAACTATTTTCTGGCCCCCTGGTCCAAGTACCCCATATCACCAGGACTGCAAGAGTCCTGGACCCTATGACTTTCAGCAAGGAGATATGTGTCAGGAAACACTGAGAAGGTGACACAGTAATAGGGTTGGGCTATTGATCTTTTAGCCCACCTAATGAGGCGTCAGCTTCAGAATGGAGCCAAGGAAGTATATTTTCTAGTTACCTAGAGGATTCTGTCCTGTAAAGTTCTGGTTTATAGATGGACTCTGTCACCGAAATAGGACAAAACCTATGGCCTTAGAAGAACTCTGAACATGAGGGATGTCCTGAGGTAAAGAGTATTTGTGTGAAAACTATTTGAGGTTCTCCCAGGAGGTAAGGAGATGGATGAAATGAGCTTCCAGAGATTTTTGGCATTTCTAAAGTACTACTAAGAGACACTCTTGGTAGCATACTTCTGAGGACCTGTCCCAAGGCTGGGGACATCCCTCACTAACTCCCTTCCTGAATACTAACCGGATTAATCTTTGTGCTCAGTTCACAGATAATGGTCAGATCATTTTCCCAGAGTCAGAGAGCCAGATTTTCTCCTATCCCAACCCTCCCCTCAGAGGCTTCACAGCTAAGGACACTGTGGCCTTAGTGGCTCCATTTTGGGATGATGCAGATTTCTCCAGCTGTCGGGGAACCATATTTTACCAGGTAAGCTTTTCAAAACCTGACAGTCAGGGTCTTCTAGGAATATTACAAATAAGACATAGGGCTGCATGGTGGGCATATCAAAAGTTACTGCTATTAGATCCCAAGCTCCATGTGGGCAGATATTGATGCTTAAACATGGGAATGGGGTGGGGGAGTAGATTAAGACATAGAATCAGAGATACTCTGCAGTTGATAGGGATGGGGGCTAGCAATCCAATGTCTGATTTTGTGATATAGTTGTAAAGACTATACTTTCAGGGATCATTTCTGTAGTCTGTTCTTCGAATATGATTGTAGAGGAGATCTATGCTAAGAAAGCCTGAATCAAGCAGCCCTTGCTTGTTCTGGATTGCGTTAGTAACTGCAGGCAGTGGAAGCATAGAATGAAAGTTGCTGCAGGCAAATGTGGATTGTGCCCTTGCCTGTAGAACTGAAGGGTGGAGAAACAGATGCCTGTTCTCTAGGAAACTGCTGGTAGACCAGGGAAAGACAAAAGGGTGCAGGTGGTTACACCAGCTCAGCTATTTTGTGCTAAGAAATACACGAGTTTAAGCCCAGAAGACTCATCTCTGAGCCTTGATCCTCTACTCCACACATCTCAGCCTTCCCTGAAGCTTGATTTTTAATTTCTCTTAAGATATGAGGCGCTAACTCTGAAAATGTAAATCTGGGAAAGGAAAGGATGGAAGATAATGGTAGACTAAGGCGGGCAGGATCACCATGAAGAAAGTGAATATGTGGTGGGCGTACCCTCAGGGGTGTGGAGCGGGGACCCTCATTTCCTTGTCCTGGTCTGCTTTCCTTTCCTAGGAATATGAGACACTCTATGATGAGCACTACGAACTGGTCCATCAGGTGGAAAAGTGGATTAAAAAATTCACAAACACCTTATACTACAAAGCCAGGTGGACACTAAAGGTCACGTGGGTCAATACCCCTGCCTATCCTGCTCAGCGACCCCTTGGGGTGAGTGGACCAATGGCCAGCCTCCTGGGAAACTCTGGAAATCAGACATCCTAGAATCCTAGGCAGAGGACACTCTTCTAAATTCCTCTTTGACTCAAGGACAGGTTGCTAATTCTAGCACTCCCTCACCCAGCATAAGGCAGGATGCTTCAGTCCACACAACTCAGCAACGGCAGCACTGGCTATTAGGACATTGAAGTATAGGAAATGGAGTTTTTGTTGTTAAAAAACAAGCTTAGCATGACTGAAACCAATATTATTGTGCACATTTTAGGGATGAGAAAAATGGTGGTTAGAGAGGTTAAACAACTTACAGTCACCCAGGTAGCAGATGATTATATGGTCTGGAACCAAGGTTTTTCTAACCCCAAACTGGTTCCTTTCTCTTTTTAAATAAAAGTAACATTACTTTACATATGCACATATATATGTATATTTTAAAGATTTATTTATTTACTCATGTGGAACTGGGGTACAGGTCAGAGATGTGAGAGGATTCACCAGAGACAGAGAGGGGAGCAGAACAGGCAGATCGACGAAGTACACTGCTGAGGGGAGCAGTGGGCGGTCAGGAGAGGGCTGCCACGCCATGTGGATCTCCTCTGGGGCAGGTGGGAATTGAACTCATGCAGAAGTGGCTTAAGCTTCTTAGTGCTGTGCTTTAACCCGCTGCGCCACCAGGGAGAGCGCAGCATATGCATATATTTTAACAGTACAGGTTCACCCCTCTTCAAATGTATTACCATACCACCCCAAACTCTGGTTCATATGACAATGCCATCCCATGGAAATGGGCACACAAGCTCCTTAGCCTTCTTTCTGGCGAGTCACAGCTCTTAAAGTCACAAATCACTTGTGTCTGGTCTCTAAAGTCACTCATTTTTTTCATTGATTCCATAAATTCATTGATTACCCCTTTGTACAGGGCACAGTGCTTTGCCACATTCACAGACCCTCCAGTGTCACCTGTGGTGGACTCTCTGCACTACTCAGGTTCAGGTGACTCTTAGATAATATCCTTAAATAAACCTAAGGAAGTTGATTCATGCTGCCCCCAACTGTCTGGTGCCTTGGCTAAGCTCTCAGATTCCCATACAAACCTTTCTAATTGACTCTAAACCAGAGTGCTTTATCTCCCTTCTTTGGAAAGAAATCACAGAAGACAAATCCACCAAGGTTGGTATTTTGAAACCCAGGGAGAAGACTCCTCTACACAGTCCCAAAGTAGTCAGTATTTTAAGCCCATGCCTTAGTTTTGGATAAGCCAGGAAAAGGTGATGTACGTGCCAGGACAGGGTGTGGGTTGGGTGGTGGGACCCCAGGCAGGAGAATCCAAGACACTTGTTCTCAGTCATTCTTATCTCCAACCAATTTCCAGACCAACACCTACCAGGTCATCCTCTCCACAGATGGAAGCAGGTCTTACGCCCTGTTTCTCTACCAAAGTGGCGGTATGCAGTGGGATGTGACCCAGCGCCCAGTCAACTCGGTTCTCATGGGTTTCTCCAGGTAAGCTGGGAGGGGCTGCGAGGACTCAGTGGATGAAGAGGAGGAACAGCAGAGTGGGATTTTCAGAGCACACACACGCCAATCCCCCAAGAGGATACATGAACCCTCTCTGGATGCATCTGACTCACACTGAATCCACGTCTTGCTGTTTTACATTAAAAGAGTGCCCTATATACCCAGCCATTCTCTTTACTATCTTAGTCCCTGTGTGTCGTAACAATTTCCAGAACTTTCACTTCTCTGATTCCCACTGATATTAGCTAATTGCACTTGACTTCTCAACTGTCATAGCAGCAACCAACATTTAATACTGGTACTTAGTATATACTCCATTTGATTATCAGAACAACCCTGTGAGAGAGATATTACATATTACCCATTCTACAGATAGGGAAAACTGAGGGAAAAATAGGTAATTGCCCAAAGTCACAGAGCTAGGAAGTGGTAAAGCAAGAATTTGAACCCAGTCATCTGAGACTGAAATCTGCCTTCTTCACACCCTATGGACTGAGAATGAACCCTTCACCTGGTGCTAACCTACAGATTGTGTGGGGTCGGTGGGAAACAGAGCAAAGGGGTGGCACTGAGGATGGGGACTTGGATTTCTGTATGTAGTGGTGGCTCAGTCTCTCACGATGGCTCTGGACCACAGATGCTGGGGTGTGAATCACTGTGAAGGTCACATGTAATTGGTTGCTGTGATTACCGCAAATAGTTCTCTCCTAGAATGTGTTTGAGATTGTCTCTATAATTACATTGCTTTCACTTGTGAAAGAGAAAGGGGTGGAATTATCCAACTAGCTAGGAATTTCACACCATCCTGCGTGTGCCTAGGGAAGCTGTCACGCCTGTGTGTGTCACCTACTCAGTGTCAGAGGGCAGGAGAGGTCAGGAGTTCCTACTCTGGGTGTTCGCCCAGCGGGAGGCTCCAGGCTCCGCTCAGGATTTCTTCCTTCCTGGAGCAGCATTTTCAACCCACCAGCACCAAGAGAGGGGGCCACCCTGTGCTTTGGGGTCCTCCCTCAGTTTCAAAGTTTTGCAAATGTAACTGCACTTGATCCTCATAATACTGAAAGAGGGATGCTATTGCCATCCTCTTTACACAGATGTAAGTTTTAAGAATCGAAGAGAAACTGAAGTTAACCTAAATGACTTACTTATGATAAACAAGTTATTAAATCTAGAGGTCAAGAATTGAATCTATGATTGTTGAACCCCAGAATCAGATTTAACCATCATGGAGTCTCCTTTCCAAATCTTAATTGAAGGAAAACAAACAGGAAGGAGGCCTGAACTCTGGTTTTCATAATCCTATCTCATGACCAGTTACTTGTAATTAGCGGTGAGATGTGAAATAAATGAGAGCCTCTCCACTCTTGCCCAGTCACTCTCCCTCTTCCTGCTTAGTGCTAGGACTCAACTGACCAACTGGTAGCTGACTGAATAACTGATTGACCAACTAATATCTAATGACTGAATGAATACCTTGCCAGCTGAGAGGAAAGACCCGTGTGTGATGGAGCCTATCATTCTTTCCCTTGCCTACAGTGGAGATGGGTATTTCCAAAACAGCCCGTTGATATTCCAATCGGTGTGGGAGAAGTATCGCCCAGACCAATTCGTGGATTCCAGCTCAGGTAAGAGTACCACCTTGCCCCACTTAAATTTGTCTCAAGTCCTTTTGTGTCCTCCACTCTACGTGCCATGAAGACCACAGCAAATCCCAAACATCTCCTCCATCCTGAGCACACCCCCAGTACAATCTGACCCTCTACAGGTATAATCAGAATATGACACCACCTATGCCCTCACCACAGTACAGCGGGTCCTTAAGTGACATCTTTTAGTTCCACATTGTTTTGTTACAATGTCAATGAGAGAAAAATTCGATTCCTGGCTACGGTCCCCGTCTGTGTGAAGTTTGCACATTCTCACATCTGTGTTGGTTTTCCCCAAGTACTTGGGTTTCATCCCACATCCCAGAGGTGGGCGTGCCAGGCTAATGGATGCGCCTCAGTTGTGTCTGAACAATTGTGTGTGAGTGTCCTCTGCAATGGGAGGGTGTAACATTCAGGTTCCCACCTTGAGCTACAGGAATCGGCTGCGGCCACCTGAGACCTGAACTGGAATAAGCAGGCAAGGAAATGAGTGAATGAGCACAAGTGATTACTTAAATTATTAGTGTTATTTGGAAATTTGGTAGTTTTTGTGACCAGAAATAAGCCACAAGAACGTAACTCTTCTTTGTTTCAATTAGCCTATTATAAAATTGGTTTGTTCTACCTCATTTTCCCAAAGAGGCAGTTTCCAGGATGAAGTTAAGTGAGGATGTGCTGCACGGTGTCAATTGGGGCTATGTCGCCTCGCCTCCCTGGGGTGACTCAGGAGGTCTCTCAGTGGGGGGTCCAGATCCTGGAAATGAGAGCAGGAGTGTGGCCGGAAGTGGGAATATGAATGGACAGTCGGACAATACTCCAAGTGTTCTCTCACAGAGCTGGAATAAGAACCAGATGAGATCATTTCAGGAGATCTACCGAAAGGAGCTCCAGAGGTCTGACATTCATTTAGTCAACATTTATGGAGTACCTGCTGTGTCCTGGACCCTGCTAAGGGCCAACAACATGGGGGTAAAGAAGAAAGGAGACTGTTTTTTCTCTCGAAGAGTCTCACTCTGGCGAAAGGTAGCACTTTAGTACCACCTGTGGTCCTCCTCCAACTATGAGTCATCTCCTCCAGATGACCCAAAGGAAAAGAAATTACAGTTTCTAAAATGCGATAGAACAAAGGACATTTGTGCATTAGAAATCAGCCAGTAAAACGTGACCCATAAAATCACTTGTTTGTTCTGTGAGAACATTGTTCACAGACGCTACATCAAATCATGGGCGCCATCTTGTGGAGAGAGCTGTTCGGTCAGATGAGCGCCTATCTATCAAGATGTTCAAGATGTATCGTTGTTGATTTGGGGCTGCATTATGGGGCGGGTGTGTGTGTGTGTTTAGGGAAAGTGACACTGGACCATTGTGGAAGAGATCCATAAACAGGTAATCATAAAAATGTTGTTCTTTTCAAAACCTTACTATTAACAGTAGCTATCCTGCTCATTCATTCTCATGTGATGTATAGGGTCAAAATCGAATACACTCTGCCCTGTCATATCTTGTTGGCCTTCTCACGACAGCTGAAGTGGGCAGTATATTACGCACGTATAATTAATTAAAGATCTATTTAAAGTTCAAGCCCCGATGGGGTTTCTTCTGCTAGTTACTTCTCACTTCCAAAGAAACCATCTGGGCACAGAGGACCTTCCTAGCCCTGTAGTGTAGGAACAAGTCCCTGCTTTGTGTGCCAGCCAGTCTCTGGGCAGTAGCCTCTGTCCTTGCTGCTTTGGCCACTGACATGTCTGTGCTGGAGGAGAGGGAGGGAGAAGGATGGTCAGTGTCCAATTCCACTGACCGACAGGGTGGCTAATGATTCCACTGACCGACACTTAGGGTACATGTAGAGGAAGTGGTTTGGGGGATGCAGAAGGTGTTAGAGTGAAAGAATAGGAAGGTGGAGAATGGGACAGAATGACGATCAGGGACCGGATCTGGCTCTGAGTTAGACGTTGGTGCGGCCTCCCTGCACCCTCAGACCTAAGCTTTGAGGACCTTTGGAGGTGACATCAAAGGTGCTTTTAGGGAGGATTCACTGACAATTGGAATTGGTGCCACCCGTGAAGGAGCTGTCTAGAAGGTGGGAGGTGACATCCAAGGCTGCATTTATGAGAGCTGGTTGTCCTTAAAGCTAAAACAGCATCTATGGTCCCCAGCCCCTCAGGTAACCCCTTCTTCTTTGTTCCTCCAGGCCTTCGGGGGCTGCAGTTCTATAGGCTACATGGGACAGAAATATCCAACTACCGGCTCAGATGCCTGCGGTGGTTGAAGAGACAGCCTCAGTGGCCCGGCTGGGGGTGGAGCCAGATCTCCTGTCCTTGCTCCTGGGAGCAGGCCCGCTGGGACTTACGATTCCAGCCCAGAGGTGACACTTCCGTCCTATCTCTCTTCCCCTCACCCCCACAATCCCTCTCTCCATTCCTCTGGTCACACCAGGCCTCTGGGCATCTCAAGCCGTCCTCACAAATACCCCCACCCTGCTCCTGCCACCAGTAACCGGTTCCCAGGCGTCCTGGGCCTGAGTCTGTCTGTACTTGTTGCAGGCTGGTGGGGCCTTCAAGGCAGGCAGCTGTGTAGCTTCTCCTCCTGGCGCGGGGGCGTGTGCTGCAGCTATGGGCCCTGGGGAGAGTTTCTGGAAGGCTGGAGAGTGCAGAGCCCTTGGCAGCTTGGTAAGTGGTGTTCACAGAAATCTCAGTCACACCTTCTCTCCATCTCTCTGCTAGTCCTCCTCAGAGGCCAGCCCCAGGCTCCGAGCAAAGCAGTGGGCCCTTAGAATGAAACCCCTTCCCAGCTCCTTACCCTCTCTGATCCTTAATTCCTTATCTTTAACCTTAGGATGTTTTTGACATCCCTTTCCACTGATATCCTAGGGATTTATGATGGAGTCCATCTCACTCCATGTCCAGCCCAGAGTGGGAACATCTTTCTGGAGAAAGGGTTGGGGTCACTCTGACACTGCTCCTCTGAACCCAGATTAGCACATTATCTCCCTCCAGAGATGCCCTTCAAATGAGCTCGAGAAAACAGAGTTGGGAGGCCATGGCAATACACGTCCACCCGCCCTTCTCCCAGTCACCACTGCAGCCTCCCTAGTCCCCAGGCCATCAGCCTGTCCCTGGGGTTCTCTGCACTTGGAGAGCAGGGCTCCCTGCACCCCACCCTCCACTGGAGGTTTTGCTGCACAAGGCTTCAGCATGCCTGCAAGGGCAACAATGGGTCAATAGGTCAATCCCCCGAGGTCACTGGGCAAGTGAGATATGAACGGAGGTGGTGGGCCTGATTCCAGACCTTGTGCTGGCCCGTCTTCCCGGCATGCCAAACCTTCCAGCTGGCCTCTGCAGCTCCTCCATGTCCTTCCCGACATGCTGCTCTTCTCCACAGACCAAGAACTGGAGTTGCAGAACTGGTGCTGCAGCTGGAACGACAAGCCCTCCTTCTGTGCTCTTTACCAGCAGCATCGGCTACCGCTCGTCCGCTGTGCTGGTTACCGTCCCCTGCGGCCTGGTGAGGCAGTGGGGCCCACCCCGGGGCAGGGCATCTGGGGAGGGTTAGCCTTTTGGGGCCTGGGCAGGGCTGTCTCCACAAGGGAAGATGGGGGTGATTCCAGTGTGAGGCTGATGGCCAAGTGAGGGGTCTTGTGGTATGCACACTTATAAGGGCTTGAGCTCTTATATTCCATGAACTAGCCCCAGCTAAGTCTACCCTGGCAAATTCCTCCTGGGGGGCAGACCCTGCCTGCCCTGGTCTGCCATGCCAATGTGGTCTCTCCTTTATTCCAGCCTGGATGTTTGGGGACCCCCACATCGCCACCTTGGATGGCAGCAACTTCACTTTTAATGGCCTGGGGGACTTCCTGCTGGTTCGGGCCCAGGGCAGAAACTCCTCCTTCCTGCTGCAAGGCCGCACGGCCCAGACCGGCTCTACCCAGGCCACCAACTTCATTGCCTTTGCCGCTCAATACAACTCCAGCAACCTGAACCCCATCACGGTGAGGCAGGAGTGCCAACACATCCATGTTCCCCTCAGTGAGAGCCCATGGCGACAGCAGTCCAAGAGGAAAGAGGGCAGGAGGCAGGACAGAAGACAGCTCTGCCAGTGTAGTGGTTTCAGAGCCAGCCTCAGTGCCAGCAGGATTGGTGGCCTGGCCCCACCAAGAGTGAGAAATGACCTCACTCTAGTGCCTTGGGTTTTTTTGGGTTTTGTACAGTAACACGGGGGAAAGGATATGACTTTCCTCCCAGGGTTGTTGTAAAACCTAAGGAACATCACCTAAGAAATGTGGCTATATTTTATGGGGATGGAGTGGGGAATGGGATCAAAAACAGTGGGGGGAGGGAAATGCACTGGACTAATGTGATGGCACAAGGGTGATTTGGTGATGGGAAGCCCAAGGGGATTGCAACTGAGATG